TTTATAGTCAGGCTTATAGTATAACGGCGTATATTTATGTTATCATTAAATGCGACAAGGAAACAATTTCTTCAGTAGCCCATGGATCTTAATAATGGAGAATCATATTCATAAATACTAAATTCAACGAGAGTATAGTGAATCGTTAACAGACAGTGTTTGATAAAGGTAATTAAATGTAACGGCTATGTCAAGTAAGACTTCTATGTCCATTCTGTTCTATTCCGTTGTTTTCTGTTAATTACATTTTGCTGATTACATTAGTTTAGGCTGTTTTTCATATGCAGCATAAATCGTCAGAAACTCAGAATTCATTTTTTTAATTGTTTTCAAACTGGTTTCTCGATGACATAAGTCGTCTTTGTTTGACGTAATTCATTTGTCTCAATTCGTTGTAATTGATGCTTGGTCTCGTAGTTTTGTTGTATTTTGTCGGAATTGAAGGAATACGATTTTCATTAAATTGAGGCTGTAATAAAACTGTCGTAATTGTCGTGAAAACGAAAAGATAAGATAAATATGATTTCGGTTTTTACCAGATTGTGCATAATAATGACATACAACAAATTACGACATTTAATTCGACGAATTATGTTGTATGAAAACCAGTCTTAAGCTAACACTTGTTTCCAAAGTCTGTCAGCAATCCATTTATCATGTGTTTGCCATGGATTAGACATTGTAAACCATGTGACAAGTGCAGATATAAGGAACACAGCAGCTAAAGGAAGCAGACAGATATATTAAACGACGTACTGAGGTCGAGAAGAAACGTTCAAAAAAATTTCAACGAAAGCGTACCAAGCCTTTTGAGGTAAGCTATATATTTGGTTGATCTCATTGATTTTTAGATATTTTTACAATTGACTGTATTTCATTTCTTATTTCAAAGGTACGACAATGAAGATCCTGATAGCTGCCACAGAATAAGAATATACAGAAGAGTCACTCGTGTCGGAATCTTTGATGCTTTTGTCCTCGCGCATGTTGTGCCGCGCATAGTGGCCGCCATTATTCCAGTTGATTAAGGTTTTGACTTTTTCCTTAACCTTTAAAATGATCCGAAGTCATTTCAAGTCAAAATATACTTGAATTCATTATTTAGTATTGACGTCAGTAGTTATCGTGTAGCTTTGTCACACTTTTGTCACAGAGCTCTTACCTGTGCCAGTTAGTTTCCAGTCCCTGAAGTTGATCGGTGCGCGCGCATGTCAACGGGAAACAGACTCAGGCGGGAAGTTGAGGTAATAGGCTAATATGATAAACGGAAATGAAACAGATGTAAATTAGAAGGATGCCATTGTTCCATATTGAATTTACTTCAGCGTTTATCATTGCAACACTTCTCAGCATAGCAGTCTAAAAGTTTATTTTCTAACAAACTTTGACGTACAGTTATTTTATTCTTTTCTGACTCCAAAGGCAATTTGTTCATTCTTAATGCCTCATCAATGTCTACATTCAATTCCATTTGTTTCAAGAGATAAAATGTAAACCTTTCGATAAAGTATAAGCTATAAAATGCAATTACCTCGTTTTCTACCGTTTTTACCTTCGATTGTGATAGGGGAAACGGATCTAATGTTACTTTGTCAATAGCATGCAACTTCCAGCTTTGTCGTATTTCCGATTTTCACGCCATCCAATGCCATGCCTTGCTTATTAACCCCTATTTCCGGTTGACATGCGCGCGCACTGATCAACTTCAGGGGGGCTGGAAACTAACTGGCACGGGTAAGAGCTCCGTCACAAAAGTGTGACAAAGCTGCATGATAACTACTGACGTCATGTAATTTTAATGGTTGGAAACAAGTGAGAAATCCTAAACATCTGGCTAGAATAATGGCCGACATGAGGACGCGTTGTACACCTGAGTGACTCTTCTGTATAATAATTATTCTGTGCATCTGCGTTATTTCTTGTGTTTTTGCTTGTCGCAATAGATGCTCGACATCATATTTTACACAACGAGGATAGCTTGGAACGAGAAGGCCGACAATTTGGTACGGATGCAAGTCATAAAATAATGTCAAAGCACTTTTGGTGCTTACATCACATTTGTAAGAACACTCAGAACACTTGCGATTATTAACATGCTCAAATCTTATACGATTGCAAACACAGTTTGCTATTCATTATCTGAATTTTGTTAAACTGCAAACAAATACTTATACTTCAATAATTGTTTATATTGATTTGTTTTATACATTTCATCACATTTAGGATTATGTAGATGCAAGAATCGCCGCGATACAGGAAAATGTTTTTCAAGTGCCCGTTTATCTACGTCCTTGCTGCGGCAGCTTTATGCTTGCTGTAATTGATGCTACAATGTTTGCCTTGGTGTTTTACCTCTATTGCTGAAGCATATATGTAGTTTCTAGGTGTACAGATATTTTAATTTCAAATAAAGAACAGCTCATTCATGGAGCGTCAAATTGTTCGTTCATCGCTACACATAGTATCTTACTCAAACTTACACCGGAATTCTATAATTTTACAATAGGAGTAACTCAATGACATATACGGCCAAATTTTTCGCATTTTCACTTTGAGTGTAAACAACTATTTGAGTATGTCCCTACTTGATGTTAATAGAAACTAAAGGCGCATCTCCACTAGACGATTTTTGTGACGATCGTCTTAAATTTTCGCGACAATATTTCGAACACGAATTAAAGGACGATTTTGTTAGTCATCTCCACTCAGTGAATTCCATATATATATATCTGGAATGATAACGACAATACATTTTATAGATATAAAATTGAAGCCAAAGTCCTAGTCTCTTGCGTGGTTTGTACGTCAGTTCCAGTCCTTCAAAGTCGAATATTCACGCGGTTTGTACGTCAGTTTCATTCCCCTGAGTGCCAAACATACACGGCCAATATAAATTTGAATACAAATTGCAAAGCATAAACATATAAACAACACGACAAACAACACACGAGGCCAACTCCTCGCAAAGGTTATTTTACAGCTGAAACTTTACTACAGTGAGTTCGTTGTAACTTACAACTTGTAACGAGGAAAAGCCAACTGAAAATTACACTTTACTAAAAGACAATAAATAGAAAATATGACGAGAAAATATTCAAGCATAAATTTTTCTTCGTCGGAAGGTAAATTTCAAACGGTGTCAGACAGTGTTTGTCTTTTGTCATTTAAGTGGATTTAAAGATCTGTTTTTCCGAATAAAAACTTGAATATCCAGTTTCATAAAAATATTGAGTCTATAACTCGCATTTTACTTTTACAGAGCGATTGTATTTTTCATCGATTTTGATAGTGCTTGAAACTTGAAATACTAAATGGTTGTCATCTCGATATCAATAATTGAATATCCTTAAAGACTTTGATATGTTTTAAAGGAAAACCGCAGCGTAAGAGCAGATCGACTAAGTTCACCTCATCTTGCTTCGATTTATCACTTTGATTCACTTTCCGTGAACCTTTTCATTCCAAAATTTCGTTATTTTACGCTCTGATCAAGATCCGAACTCTACCATTACCAAGGACAAATGATTTAAAAATAAAATGAACACGCGAGGACTAGAGCCTGACGAGTGATGACGAATGATGACAACAAATATTTTTTTGGCTTCGGTTATCATTCCAATTATTCAAATGTCGAGTTCACTGTCTCCACTAGACGATTATTTCGCGGTGTTTTCCAATAAACAAAATGGCGTCTATAAATAAAAGATATATTCTATATTTGCTGCTTCGTAGAAGATATTTATTTCTTTACAATCTTCACCAAAATGCTCAGGGAGAACACCAAAACAAGAAAAAGGAAACGTCGATTTTGGATAAGAAAGCTGTACGAAGAAAGAAATGTGAAAGGAGAATATAAGTTATTGATAAATGATATGCGACTCCACGACCATGAAATGTTCTTTAGATACTTTCGTATGTTTCCAAAGACATATGAAAGTTTGCTAAAGTTGATAGGACCCGACATAAAGAAAGTTTCAACGAAAATGAGAGAACCTATTGGACCTGACCAAAGACTTGCAGTGACACTACGATATTTAACCACCGGTGATGCCTATTCAACTATTGGCGCTAATTATAGAATGAGTGCCACAACTGTTGGCAGAATAATCGATGAAACGTGCAATTCAATTTGGAATAGACTGAAGGAAGCAGGATATATTGACACACCTTCTGGAGTTGAAGCATGGAGAAAAATTGCCAATGAATTCGAAACTCGATGGAATTTTCCGAATGCACTTGGCGCAATTGATGGCAAACATGTGTTGATGTTTGCTCCTGATAATCAGTCATCCGCTTTCTTTAATTATAAAAAGACTCACAGTATTGTGCTCATGGCAGTATGTGATGCTCGGTACAAGTTTACTATGGTTGATATAGGTGATAGTGGACGGCAAAGTGATGGAAGTGTTTATGCTAACAGCAATTTAGGTTATGCTATAGAAAATAAACTCCTGAACACTCCACCTGATTGTCAAATTTCCAATTCTAATAAGGTTTTACCGTATGTTTTGTTGGAGATGATGCTTTTGGTCTAAAAGACATATGATGAAGCCATATCCATTCTCCAATCTTTCAGAAAGCAAGCTAGTTTTCAATTATAGGCTCAGTCGCAAGGAGGGTAATTGAAAACACATTTGGCATTTGTGCTAGTCGTTTTCGTTTTTTCCACAGGCCAATCATTGCAAAAGTACCCAAGGTTATTCCAATAACAAAAGCAGTGGTTGCACTGCACAACTTCCTGATGACTATAAATGAAACTGACAGAGAAAGTCACTATTGCCCAAGTACATTTGTTGACCAGGATGGGCCAAATGGTCTGCACCTTGGTGAATGGAGACAAGATGCAAATATTATGAATGATATAGCTTCTATTCAAAATGTTGGGGCTTCAAGAAATTATGGTGGGGAAGCTAAATGGGTTAGAGAACAGTTTGAACATTATTTCAACAATGAGGGTGCTGTTGACTGGCAATGGGACAAAATAGGCAAAGCAAAATAAATAGATTCTCGTTTTTTAATAGGACTTGGAAACAACTAATGAATAACATAAATTCATAAAATGTAGATAATTGTTAAGCTTTACAGGAATGTCATTATTTGGCTAAGCAACAGAATATCAATTATCACATATACAATGTTATTCATTAATTAACAATATTCTATATAGTCTATTTATGTAAGCATACAGGTTTTTTATATATGATGAGAAAAGAGAATTCATCAAAATGTTAAAATGAGTTTAGTAAATTGAGTTTTTCAAACACAAGAAAAAGTTCAAGATAAATTGTAATCAATTCAAAGCAATGTTTAATCACTTTTATTATGTAATGAATTCTCATGATTCCCACCACATGTGAAATATTATTTTCAAACAAATTTTTCAGACCTATGATGCTTGTTTTGAGGTCACCAACACAGAAATAAAATTCATGTTTAAAATAGGAAAAATCTTAAGAACATGTAAATACCAAAATTGTTATATTGTTAAAAACTGAATGCATATTTTATCTCATTGATCATCAAATTCTATGTCAAATAAAAGTTGTTGAGTTTTAATTTTTGCTAATCTTAGCTTTTTTTATCAAAGTCTTTCAGCACAGGTACAAGACTCATGCAAAATGCTGTAGCCTCATCATCCGCAGACTCTTTGTTAACAATTTTGATTAGTTGATCATCCATTTGCTTGATTTGTTGCAAAAATGGGTCATAAGCACTTTTTTCAGATGAAGGTCTTTTACGCTTTTTGAAGTATTTTCATCAATAGGTCTTTCAGGTGTCGGTGTTGTTAGAGAACATGGACTTGCAGGTACCGATAATGGTGACATAGAGCAAGCTATCGGTTGAAATGGTGATGTGGAAGAAGTTGATATAGCAGGGGAAAAAGCATCTGATTGATCCTCAAAATTACCAGTTTCAATTACATGGCTGGATGCTGCAGGTGATATGTCAACATTGCTATGAGTTGGCAAATTGGAAGTTTTCTCATGAAGAAAACGCATCACTTCAAAATATTTGCATGTAGGTAGACATCCTGCAGGAGCACCTGATCTGGTCATGGCCCTTCGTTTGTCCAGGCATTTCTTTAAAGAATCTTTTAGATTTTAATAAATTTTCTGTAGGAATGCCACTAAAAAGTAAAAATTCAAAAACAAATTACCAAATGTCATCAAACACATATGAAGAAGACTTGAATCAACTAGAATAAAAATATATGTTGTCTCGAATGAAAAAAAAAGTTGAAATAGGCCACAACTCAGAAAGGCTGGCAAAAAAGAACTGTGTAAGTTAGACTAGGGATTCATTTTGGACTCACAGCATACAGACCCAAAGGAAATTTTTTGGTTTCATGCAGACACCAAACATCAACACAGTTCATTGACAACCCTCCATTTTCATGTGTAACAATTACAATCCTAGAAGTATTTTTGTAGTAGGATGTATTTTGATTTTGGCATGTAAATAGGCAAAGGAAAACTGTAAAAATGGAAGAAACTCGTACCTTCTTGATTAAACAATGATGACAATGCATTCCATGCATTCACTTTCATATTACGATTTTTGTAATTGGGATCACTGGTATCCCACAAGCATTTATATTCTCTTAATGCTTGGAGAAACATTTCTTTGTCAAAGGTATTGCCTTCCACAGAAAAATTGGACTTTTGAGACTGACTGTCCACTTCTGATGAGTGTGGAAGATCTGTAATAATTAACTCAACTTCTGTTGTTTCTTCTTTACTAGTAGCCATGTTGAAATCATTAATATGAACTGCTAGGTTGACCATGTGCAGTGTTTGCTCATCTCTGATATTTGATTGGCTAAAATTTTGACGATTGTAAAGCGCTTGACGAAAAGTTAAAACAGTTTAAACTTACTCAAGAGCAAAAGTTCTAGTAGAATGTATTCGAATTTTAAAGTATTTATGCAAAAAATTGACCATAGTGGTAGAATCAAGTTGACATGATTTCAAATATTATTAATTAGTATGTTTACAAAAGCAATTGGTAGGGCGACCATATTAACATTGAAACCAAAATAGAATAGCCAGCGCACATAACATACGCGATTAATTCGTTGAAATTATTCTAGAGACAAATACACTTGGTCAAAAGCTGATCGACATACTAACTTTGGGCAAGTATAGAATTTGCCACATAAAACTTTGTCATAAAGAAATTTGTTCCCGTGTAAACGGCGACATGCTTTATCAAGGTAAGTAGTGCGTTTGTTCAATGTGCCGTAACATGACCAATATTTCACAAAGAGTGATATTGTTTCCAAACTACAATTGGCAAGAGTCAAGAAATTACTTTCACTCAAACGCGTATAATTAAGATACGCAAAAATCGCTTATCTTACTTTCACTCAAACGCGTATAATTAAGATACGCAATTAAGATACGCAATTCAGATACGCAGTTGATTCCGTCACTAATAAACGCAAGTGAAAACAATGTCTTCAGTAGACTTGATATCTTAATAATGGAAAACGACATTTATCAAATATAAATTAAACGACAGTATAGTGAATCGTTAACAGACAGTGCATGATAAAATTAGTAAATGTAACGGCTATGACCTGTAAGACTTTTGTGTCTGTTTGCTAGTTTCTATTGACATCAAGTAGGGACACACTCAAATAGTTGTTCAATAGGCAATTAGGCATGACATCTTAATGGAATACGACATTCATTAAATTAAATGACAGTACTGTGAATCGTCAACAGTCAGTGTTTGATATAAGTAATAAATGTAAGGGGCTATGACCAGTAAGACTTTTGTGTCCTTTCTGTTCTATTCCGTTGTTGTCCAGTTAACTACATTACGCTGATTACTTTGCTGACGTGATTGACTGGCTGTCACATGACTATGCTTCACACGAAACTGACGAAAGATTTCGAAACAAGAGTGACTCTAGTACTTGCTCCCCAAAACAATATAAGTAATTACGACGTTTTAGAACTCATCTAGATTTTTTTATGAACATTATAGGAAATCGCTTATCTTACTTTCACTCAAACGCGTATAATTAAGATACGCAATTCAGATTCATGTTGCGTAAGTACACAACAGTAATTAGAAATTGTGCAAATAACTTGTCGCTAATAAGTTAATATAATTCCACAACACGTTATAGCATTCCCGTATATTACCACACACTCGGAAAGGGAGAGTTGGAGCTAATTTTGGAGAAATATTATACAAGACTAAAAGCCATCATCAGAGAATCAGATTATCAGAACTCAAGAATTTGTATTCATTTTCGCGTTTGTTGATGAATGTGGCATGCGTATGCGAATTGAAGTTTAAAATGAATCTTTCAAGATTATTTGCACGCGTGTGTATTGATCGACCGTGGGTCATTTGTACTATAAAGAAATGAGAGTGTTCTTTGGATGGGATCATGGGATTGAGAAATTCTTTGTTACTTTCTATTAACGTCAAGTAGGGACACACTCAAATAGTTGTTTAACACTCAAAGTGAAAATGCAAAATTTGACCGTGTATGTCACTGAATTACTCCTGTTGTAAAACTATAGAATTCCGGTGTAAGTTTGAGTAAGATACAATATGTAGCGATGAACGAATAATTTACGACACTCTATGAATGAGCTGTTCTTTATTTGAAATTAAAATATCAGTACATCTAGAAACTACATTTATTCTTCAGCAAGAGAGGTAAAACACCAAGGCAAACATTGTAGCATCATTTACAGCAAACAAAAAAGCGGCTGCAACTTCCACAAGGACGTTGATAATGCGGGCATTGGAAAAAACATCCTCCTGTATCGCGGCCATTCATGCATCTACATAATCCTAAATGTGATGAAATGTATAAAACAAATCAATATAATGACTGCCTGTCATCATGCTAGTCACATGACTATACTTCACACAGAAACTGACGAAAGATGAAACAAGAGTGACTCTAGTACTTGCTCCCCAAAACAATATAAGTAATTACGACGTTTTAGAACTCATCTAGATTTTTTTATGAACATTATAGGAAATCGCTGTTAAGATATGCTCTCATATTCTTCCTGTCATTAGTAAATAATTAAGTCAAGTGTAACTAACTAAATGATTATTTTAAGAGATACTTATGTGCAATAATGACAATATTTTTTATAGTTCCTAATAGCTTTCCGTTGATTGTAAATTAACCATATTTAGTAAAGAAACAAATATATCCACACGTAATATCTTGTATAAATAGAAGTAGTTTAACCATTAAACGATAGATCGTAGACCATAGACATTGACGTTGAACATTAATTGTGATCATAACAGTTATCTGTAATATCTCTATTTGTTGGTGTAAGTGAACATACACTAAAGAAGGTAGATGGCTACATCACAAAACCTAATAATCGCTTATCTTACTTTCACTCAAACGCGTATAATTAAGATACGCAATTCAGATTCATGTTACGTAAGTACACAACAGTATTTAGAAATTGTGCAAATAACTTGTCGCTAATAAGTTAATATAATTCCACAACACGTTTTAGCATTCCCGTATATTACCACACACTCGGAGTGGGAGAGTTGGAGCTAATTTAGGAGAAATATTATACAAGACTAAAAGCCATCATCAGAAAATCAGATTATCAGAACTCAAGAATTTGTATTCATTTTCGCGTTTGTTGATGAATGTGGCATGCGTTTGCGAATTGAAATTTAAAATGAATCTTTCAAGATTATTTGCACGCGTGTGTATTGATCGACCGTGGGTCATTTGTACTATAAAGAAATGAGAGTGTTCTTTGGATGGGATCATGGGATTGAGAAATTCTTTGTTAAGGCGCATCTCCACTAAACAGTTTAAACTTTTCGTCAGAATCAAAATCGTCAAAAATTTCGCCCGAACGAAAAGCTTTTTGCCTCTGCGCATGTGTCGTCGCGAAAATTTAAGACGATCGTCACAAAAATCGTCTAGTGGAGATGCGCCTTAACAAAGAATTTCTCAATCCCATGATCCCATCCAAAGAACACTCTCATTTCTTTATAGTACAAATGACCCACGGTCGATCAATACACACGTGCAAATAATCTTGAAAGATTCATTTTAAACTTCAATTCGCATACGCATGCCACATTCATCAACAAACGCGAAAATGAATACAAATTCTGAGTTCTGATAATCTGATTTTCTGATGATGGCTTTAGTCTTGTATAATATTTCTCCTAAATTAGCTCCAAGTCTCCCACTCGAGTGTGGTTATATACGGGAATGTTATAACGTGTTGTGGAATTATATTCATTTATTGGAGACAAGTTATTTGCACAATTTGTGAGTACTGTTGTGTACTTACGTAACATGAATATGAATTGCGTATCTTAATTATACGCGTTTGAGTGGAACTAAGATAAGCGATTTCCTGTAATGTTCATAAAAAAATCTAGATGAGTTCTAAAACGTCGTAATTACTTATATTGTTTTGGGGAGCAAGTACTAGAGTCACTCTTGTTTCAAAATCTTTCGTCAGTTTCGTGTGAAGTATAGTCATGTGACTAGCATGATGACAGCCAGTCAATCACGTCAGCAAAGTAATCAGCGTAATGTAGTTAACTGGACAACAACGGAATAGAACAGAAAGGACACAAAAGTCTTACTGGTCATAGCCCTTTACATTTATTACTTATATCAAACACTGACTGTTGACGATTCACAGTACTGTCGTTTAATTAAATGAATGTCGTATTCCATTATTAAGATGTCATGCCTAATTGCCTATTGAACATAGAGATATTGTTTTCACTTGAATTTATCAGTGATGGAATCACAAGGTCAGACTTAACTCTTGCCAAATGCAGTTTGGAAACAATATCAGTTTTTGTGAAATATAGGTCACGTTACGGCACATTGAACAAACACTCGAACGCAGTAGCGTAGCTTACTTTGATAGGGAAGTTTGAGGGTATTCAGGTCGCCGCTTACACGCAAAAAATAATCGTTTAGATCTACAAGTTGTAATAAGTTTAATACATTTAAATAATTTAGTATTTATATTAGAGGGTTTGGTTTTCACAGGTTCAGATTTCTTACTTGTACTGCTTATACTTTTATGTTTTCACCCCATTGACATAAAGCTCATCTATTCGAGTTTTTATACTATTTA